GGGAAGGGTGTCTGCCTAAGAAGTGTATCGAGGGAGTTCCCAGCACTATGTATTAAGGTTAATGTTTTTTCACGGGCCAAGTAAAACCATTTTACTATTTAGTGGGAAAAAAGTTAGTACTGGTTCACGAATTTATAGCATTTTAGTTTTAATCTTCAAGAAACCTTGTAAATATTATAGATAAAATATCGAATCGCTTATTTTATTTTATTATTTTACTTTAATTTCAATGAAAAAGCACCACCACTGCTCATGTTTCATTGTTTGGTGCCTTAGACTGTAGACTTATTAAAGGCTTGAGGCGTAATAGAGGAAATAGAGTATATCATATTCTTCGTTTGCACGTTACGTCATCGCGGCCATGTTGGTACCATTTAACAAAATATTTCTCATCTATTGTTAACGGTACCATAATTGCCGCCATGCTATTGTCTTTTAACTCTCCTGGGAATACTTGCAACCCATCAATACATATTTAAAAAAATGTATATACTCAATTGAAGAATGGTTGTCGGGATCAGAAACAAAAAACATAGAAGCTAAGACCGAAATGGCACATGGGAAGTACGTTAATTAGATGCATGCTGTGACCGGCGACCCGTGGCATTATCCACTGTTTTTAATACGCGTTTGGCATTCTAAACCGACTGCATGGATGGCGCAAATGAATAAATTATAATATAATTATGTTATTTCCCATGTGCCATTTCGGTCTCAGCTTTTATGTTTTATGTTTCTGAACCCGAAAACAATTCTTCAATTGAGTGTGTGTGTGATATACTGTATTTCCTCTATAATGCCTAAAGCCTTTAATAAGCCTGCAGTCTTAGGCACCAAACAAAAAAACATGAGCGGTGGTGGTGCTTTTCCATTGGCAGACCTTTGAAAATCATTTCATCAGTCGAGATTATAAAGACAAATAAAAATAATCAATAATAATCAAAGATCAGAAAAATGTATTAAGCCCCAGCCTGTAGTAAGCCCTCCCTTATAATAGACAAAGAAATAACGAAAATAAATAAGCACCTAATGGGCTAAATAGAGGAAATACGGTACTACTGCTTTTATTGAAACAACCCTCCCCATAAAATAAAAATAGCCAATATGATGCGACAGAATCCATGAACAATAACCTAGCATTACACCGCTGGATTGCATGAGATTAGTTTGAAAGGGCGAACCTAGTCAGCACTAAATCTTACCTTTACTTTTATATTAGGGATCCCAGCCATTTTGAAAATCAAGATTCCCTGACTTTTCCCTGACTAAATAACAGTTTTCACTGGCCTTGTTGAGCTGCATGGGCAAGCATGGGCCACATGCCTAACTTTTACCTAGGCCCCGCTCTTATCATATTGCACAGGATACCCAACGTAATTAAACAGTCCAACATAAATGATACCAAATACTTCAAAAAATTATTTTTCATTACTTGAAAAGATTTATCAGTCTATTCGAAAATTGCAAGCAGCATGAGTATCACACGGATATTCATAGTTAACTTTAAACAAAATTCCCTGACTTTTCCCTGACCCATGGAAACCCGGTATAAGATGCTGTAAGTAGACTCGTGTGGTATCTCAAACTACTTAATGATGGTAAGAACGCCCTCCTCTGTCATCCATCATGGCGGAAAATGATCACGTCATCCGCAACAGCAAATTTGTTTTGAAGTGAAATTTTGAAAACATCCTAAATATGTAAATTATGTAGAAAATATGTGGCTATAATTTTATGCTTTCCGACGATATCTTGAAAAAACTTTGATTGACGGCTACTAAAACCCGTATTTCGTCGCGGCGACAAATCGTAAGATACTTTTACTATATTTTTTGTGAAGTCCACCCTCATTGTTTAGTGGCCACTCAAGTGAAGTGGAGAAAATGTATATTGGAAAAGCAATGCTTGAAATTTGAATAGGTCAATCATTAAGAAAAAAAGCGTTACAATATTTTCATCGTTGTATTAGACCTTTTTAGCTTGGGAGTAATGTTGTCCCATTTCGGACCACGTCTCATTCCCTAGAGTAACATTTCTTTTTTTAACGGTTGTGCATGAGAAGTCACATGGATATAGATACAACTCAAACTAAGAATCTTCTTCTAAAGAGAATGACACGTGGTCAAATGGGAAAGTATTACTTCCAACCTTAACAGGTCTAATTAAACCTTCATTCCATCACTCTTGCCTTACTCATTCATGAAAAAGGTTACTTGATCTTATCTGGGTAAATTAGAAGAGGTACGGGCTATCTAGGTTGGCCCTGCCAGAGGCAACGCCACCATCTTGATGTTCAATGCTCTTCGTGCGCATCAAATGTCCTACTTCTTTGCTGACCAGTACTTTGTCTCCAAGGCTTAAAATAACAACATTAAAAATATTAATATCCATAGATATAATAATATAGATTTCAGTATAGATATAACGTATATTTTACAACAATCACTTCAGTAAGGGGCTCGTTCCACACGCACTAACTACGTAAACTATATTTAGACACAAGAAACAAGAAACAAGACACAAGACACAAGACACAAGACAATGACACCACACACCACACACAAGACACAAGACACCAGACAATGACACAAGACACAAGACAATGACACAAGACACAAGACAATGACACAAGACACCAGAGACAAGACACAAGTCACAAGACACAAGATACAAGTCACAAGTCACAAGACACAAAAAACAGCACCCATCTTTAGTTTTGATTACAACATAGTTAGGATAGTACGCGCGTGCTGATTGGTCGAAAACTGTGCTTTATTAGTGAACGGAGCACAGTGCTGACGCCATATGCGCGCGCGAAGTGCTGCTAGACCCTGCGACCGTCTTTCTTTTTGCGTAAATAAACTTATCAGTCGGCTAAGCATCTGATAAGACTATGTATTTTTTACGGGGTATTTATACAAGTGACGAGTAAAAATGTCGGTACAGCCGTATCAGATGTTTAGGCTACTGATAAGTTGTTTATCATTTAATTCTGCAAAGAAATGCTCAAACTCTCTGAGAAGTGAGACAATAGGAGTGCTGATACTTAGTTCTGCCATGGTAATATGACGTGAAAATTTCAGGAAAAAAGTTTTAATTATCTTGACTTTTTTTCCGCAATCATCAATAATATAATAAAATTTGGTCGCATTTTATTATTCAGATACTTCACCGTGATTGGATAATTTGTGAAAAGATTGTTTGGTGGCCTTGGTTCGAGTAGTGAGTGACTCTCACTATAAACATTTCTCATATATCTCTTTACTAAGCAAACATTTGCAGTGCAAATCGAAAAACCGAGGGCACCTAGAAAATTCTAGGAATGTTCTGTTCTTCTTTGGCCAATCAGAATTGTATTTCTAGCCACAAGATAACGGAAAGATAACAATAACGCTTCTGATTGGCTGATTAAACATTCTTGAAATATTTCTAGGTGCCCACGGTTTTTCGATTTGCAGTGTGACAATTTTGCAGGCTCAAAGACAACAAACGTTGATGGCAGACAAGGATCACGTGACCTGTCTAAGCTCATACTTTACCTTATTAGTACGCCAAATATCCCCAATTCACTGATGACGTCAGTCAACACAGGTTTTTCGAGTTCAGGGCGAATGATGTAGTTCTTGAAGGATGGAGGTCGTATTTTGTCCATGAGGATGTACTGGGATCGCTCATGTGCATTTTTCATCTTGTTCAAAGTAGTCTTGATATCATCGCCATAAAAATTGTTCCCTGAAAAAAATAATTTTTATTTTCAGATACCAGAGTCTGAAATGTTTAGCAATTTTACGATTCTGACAAACATTTTAAATTGAAGAGCAAACGACCCTTTCTGGTCTTTATCTCTGAGACAACAAGTAGTCTTTAGTCGTGAAAGAAAAGCTGATGAATATGGCGATGATGTTGATGATGAAGGTGATGATGTATGTAGTATTGATGGTGGTGGTGATGATGATGATGGAGGTGATGATGATAATGTTTATTATCATGAAAATAAGTTTAAAAAATCCCAACCCTACTAAATACAGCCAAACAGAATGCAGATGGAATCAAATCTAGTATAATACCTCCTCCTTCTCTTTGTGGCTTCAGTACGTACTTCTCAGGGTCTTGTAAGGCCATCTTGACCGTCTGTTCCCCTTCAGGTCCCTGGATTGGAAGGTACTAAATCAGTCTACGAACAGCAACAAACATATCTTTTCTCTAGCGTACAAAGCAAGCACCCTCCTCTTCCTAAAATACAAAACCACATATACACCCCTCTCCAATAGGTGGATGTAATGTACTTATTTCGATAGACACTTGCAGCTCGTCGGAATACAGCTCGATTTGGAGAAAATAACAATAGGTTTTTCAATTCTAAAGAGATTGAAATGGTATTGTTTTGACCTCCAAAATGAGCTGCTTTGACGTCACATAAAATCAGGATTATGTGAAACCTCGTTCCCAGTGCCCTCTCACAAGAAGGAATTACCACTTGTCACCTGTTTCAATTTCTCTCCGCGCACGTGAGAGGGCACTGGGAACGAGGTTGATCAGATCAAACAAGTAACAATTTTTTTTATGGCAAT